ATAAACATCTAAAAATGTATCCAATTTATATCTTGCATTTAATATTTGTGAAGTGCTATTCTGTTTCAGAGAATGTATGTCTGGTGACTCTATTATGGTCCCATTAAGACTGAGAAAGCTAAAAGGTCTCCCCTGAGAATGGTCTTAAAACTGTCCCATTCTGGAGATGTTTTCCCCATCTCCATCATTTATCCTTTCTATATTCCTTGCCAGGAGGGGAGAATGTGTATTATGTAATGGGTCAGTTATATTTTGGCTTCTTTTCCTCTCAGTAAATAAGTGGAGATAAACCAAAGATCTCTATTATAACCAAGCTGTTTCTCTTCCTGACACTTTGTGATATCTTTCTGTGGCCCCCACCCTACCTTTCTAACTTTGTCTCATACTTTTCCCTTTTCATATAGGATCTGCTTAATCCAAGTTGAACTTCTCACTGCTCTATGAATGTGTCTCTCACTTTCCCTACCCTCTTGTCCTCAAATATATTACTTCCTAACAACCACCTTAATTTTCAAATCCTAAAACAATATCAGAAAAGCTACCTACTGTGGGCAGATCCCTGTGCTGGGCCTTGGGGAATAAATGAAGTTCAGATAAGACATATTCTCCGCCTTCATGGAGTTTGTAATTTAGTTAGGGGATGAGACGGACACAGATTAAATAAAATATACATGATATACACATTAGTAATGTGTTTTGGGGTAATGTGTGCCACAGGAAATAGGCCTAAGCTCAATTAACATCTTCCTCTCAGATCCTTTCTAGACTGAAATAACTTCTCTCTGTGCTGATGTTTCATAGCATAAAAAAAAGTCAGGCATTTCTGATGTTTTAATTTGTGTCGTATTTATTGGACATGTCATAACCCTTCTAGTGAAAGGGTAGAGAACAAGGATGGATAGCACAGGGTGGAGAAAGAAGACTGGAGAGGGAATCAAGAGACAAGGGTTTGAATCTTGGTTCTGATCCTTATTGGCTATATAGCGATGGGTAAATATTTTAACATCTCTGAACCTTAGTCTTCACATCAGCAAAATGGGGTAATTAATTTTTTGTGACATCTTTTTTCAATCACTTTCATTTCCAAATATATCTCACCCCTCAATCCCCAAACAAGCCATCCCTTGTAACAGTAAAAAAGAGAAAAAAAATAGTTCTTCCAAATTAACCAACCCATCAACTGAGTGTGACAGTATATGCAGTATGTCACCCTAGCTTTCCACCTCTGCTACTAGGGGAGAGAGGTACATTTTCTTAACTCTTCTAGGTCAAGCTTGGTTATAATTATACAGCATTCATTTTCTTCTTTTTTAATTTACATTTTTGTGTTTGTGTATATTGTTTTTCGGGTTCTGCTTCCTCTCACTCTGCATCTTTTCATGTATCTTCCCATGCTTCTCTGAATTCTTCATGTTCATATTAAGTCACAGTAATATTATATTATATTCTACTTTGTTTTGAATTGTTCATTACCACAGAAATGCTGCTATGAATGTTTTCGCATATATGGGTTTTTCCTTTTTGTCTTTGACCTCCTTGGGGCATATGCCTAGCAGTAGGATCTGGGATAAAACTTTAATTTCATTGTTGCAAGGAAAACATTTTGTTAGCTATGAAATACATACAAATATGAATTGTCACAATTATCCATCCTTGTATCCTCAGGACACAGAACCTTGTATGTAGTCGGTGTGTAGCAATTTTGGAGACCTCATTAGCACAGACCATAGAGATTTGGGTGAACCAGGCCAACAGATCGCTTCTGTTTTGAAGCTTTGTGAGCCTTCTAGCCTTTATATTATTGCCATAATTAAGGAGATCTCAACAAAATATTTTAGCAAGTGTGAGCAGGAGGACATCACTTTCATCTGGGGGTGGGAAATCAGAAGAGGCTTCCTGGAAGGAGTAGGCCTTAGAGCAAGAGAATGATTTTAACAAATGAAGATGAGAAGATAATAAGGTTCAGGGGTGGAGGATAGCCTACATGAAAGCATGGAGGAAAAAGAGGGAAGAATTAGATCAGGAAATGGTAATAGTTCAGTTTGTCTAGAGTGTAGAATGTGGAATCAATCAATCAATGAATAAACAAGTATGGTACTTATGTGCTAGACACAGAGGACACAAAAACAAAGAATCAGATAATCCCTAGTTACAAAAAGCTTACATCCTAATGGGAGAGATAATAAGTACATCTAAAAATATGTAGTCTAAATATGGAACTAATAAATATGTATCAAGGAAAATAATATAAAATATGACCCCAAAAGTACACTGGAACTAAATTGTGGAGAGCCTTGAACCATATGCCTGTGTTAGAGACACAGGCAGTTCAGGAGGGGAAAAACAAGAAAATGAAATTGTCTGGGACTGGTTAATAAAGGACTTAGAAGCAGAAATTGAAAATCTAGGTCTTGACCCAGGGCGTAATAAAAATTAAAAATGGAGCAAACATCTATTGGATACTTTGTAGAAGTCTTGGCAACTGTGGCAGCTGACTGATGAAATAATAATTTGTTGTCGTTCTGTCATTTCAGTCGTGTCCAACTTTTCATGACCTCATTTGGGGTTTTCTCCGCAGATATGGGAGTGGTTTCCCATTTCCTTCTCCAGCTTATTTGACAGATGAGTAAACTGAGGCAAACAAGGTTAAGTGACTTGCCCAGGATCACACAGTAAGTGTTTGAGTCCAGATTTAAACTCAGGAAGATGCGTCTTCTTGACTCAGACCTGACACTATCCACTGTGCCACCTTGCTGCCCCAAATACTAATAATATAATAATAATTATAATAGTATGCTAATAATTGTATAATGATGAAAATTATTATAATAGTAACAGCTAGCATTTATATAGCACTTTAAGGTTTGCAAAATGCTTTACAAATATTAAGTCATTTGATCCTCACTGCAACCCTGTGAGATAAATGCTGTTCTGATCCTCATTTTATATATAAGGAAATTGACATAGCTAGAAAGTGTCTGGATAGGATTTGACTCCAGATCTAGTGCTCGGTCTACTGCACCATCTAGTGGGCAGTTCTAGTGCGTCATCTTGTACATCTTGTCTGTCTTCTGTCAGGCTTAAAAGAAGCAATCTTTGTTCTTTCCACTCATGCTAGTTTTCACCTTACTATGACAATAAGTTGAAGAGAGGCATGCATCACTGCTCAGCTCCACCAGGCGCAGGTGGCTATGGAGATCTACCCAAAAGGATTCCTTAGGCTTCTCAGATATTATTGCACCTATTTCAGAGTAGACTTAGGAGAGAAAGACGTAGTAGGACGGGGAAAGTACTTAAGCCCATTAAGTACTCTGTTTTCTAGGTTCAAATACTTTATAACCCTAATTTGGGTTTCAATTTAAGATTAGGAACTAATGATTTAGAAAAACATGCTGCCTTGTAATTCCAAAAGCCTTTTGAAAAGCTGAAAACATTAGTGTAGATCTTAAAATATGGGGTTGTCACAGATATGTTAAAACCTATTAGTTAAATCATTGATATCACCTGATATAATAGGTTTTGTATGTGTGATCAGTTTTATTGTGTACACCATTTCTTTTATTAATTTTATTCAGATTAACTGTCATCAATAACTCCATTGACATTTTGCCCCCTCTTTTATGGTATATCTGTGTTTTAAAACTGTTACTACACAACACTCTATTAGAGGATCGCCATGGAGGAAGGAAACTCTTAAGATGACTGGGAACAGGTTAAATGCCTTTCTCTCCTTAGTCTGAGCTGAAGTAGGTACAATAATATCTGAGAAGCCTAAGGAACCCTTTTGGGTAGATCTCTGTAGCCACCTGCATCAGGTGCAGCTGAGCAGGGATGCATGCCTCTCTTCAATTCATTATCATAGTAAAGTGGAAACTGTCATGAGTGGAAAGAACAAAGATTACTTCTTTTGAGCTCTGACAAGAAGAGAGACAAGATGTATAAGAAAACACAGTAGAACTGACCACTAGATAGCACAATGGACTGAGTTCTGGATCTGGAGTCAAATCCTGCTTTAGACACTTTCTAGCTATCTCACCCTGGGCAAGTCAGTTTCTTTGTCTGTAAAATGGGAATAATAATAGCACCTACCTCCCAGGGTTTTTGTGAGTATCAAATGACTTAATATTTGTAAAGCATTTTGCAAACCTTAAAGTCCTATATAAATGCTAATTGCTTTAGCATGCGGCTGCCACAGTTGTTATACTACTACTTACTACTTACTAATAGATGTTTGCTAAGTTTTTAATGGTCATACTCTAGGTTAGGACCCAGATTTTCAATTTCTCCTTCAAAATCTTTTATTAGCCAGTCCTAGGCAATCTCATTTTCTTGCCCCCCCCACCCCACTCACCCCTCCTGAATTGCCTCTGCTTCTCCAGAAGGCTCTCCACAATCTAGTTCTAGTCTGCTTTTTTGCATTATGTTTCATGACCCCAAAATGACTGTTTTACTTGATATGTATTTATTAACTTCATATTTAGACTGTATGTATTTTTGTATGTACTTGTTATCTCTTTCATTAGGATACAAGTCCTTTGAGAGTAGGAATCATTTCATTTTTAGTTGTTTTGTCCTCAGTACCTGCCATATATTAGGTGCTTAATAAATCTTGTTTGTCAGTTGACTGATTATATATTCTGCATTAGACAAACTGAACTGCTAACCATTTCCTGTTCTAATTGTTCCCTCTTTTACCTCATGCATTCGAATAGGCCATCCATCCCTTACCCCTGAAACTTATTACCTTCTCATCCTCATTTGTTCAATCTTCCTCTTCCTTTAAGGCCCTCTTCTTCCAGGAAGCGTTTTCTGATTCTCCCTCTCCCTCCCAAGCTGAAAGTGAAGTTCTCCTATACTTCACATAGGCCATAGTACTTTGTTGGGTTCTCTTTGTTGACTTTTTATCATGAAGCAGGGAAGTTGATCTGTCACTCCAGAATTCATTATCTTTCCTTCAAATTATACTCCTCATTCATCTTTTTTTTTCTCCCTCTTTCTAGTCATCTGGGTTCATATCTTCGGTGCCACCCTCAACCCGTAATTCCGACTCACCCCACAAATTGTAAGTTGCTAAATCTTGTTGGATCAGTTCCCTTCTCTTGACTCACATAACCATCACCCTGGTTCAGGCCCTCTTACCTTTCACCTGAAGTATTGAAGTGGCTTTATAATTAGTGGCTGTGCCACACGTCTCTCCCCATATCCGCCAAAGTACTTTTCCTAAAATATCGATTTGACCATGTGCTGCTCCACTCAGTAAATTCCAAGTACTCTTTGTTACCTCTAGGAGCAAATGTATCTGGCTCCAATCTGCCTTTCCAGCCTTATTGTATATACTCCCCTTCCTACTACAATGCAGCTAAAATGGTCTTCAAACAATGCATTGCATCCTTCGTCCTGCTGTCTTTACACAGGCTGTCTCACCTGCCTAGAATGCACTTCTTCCTTGACTCTGGCTCTTAGAATCTCTGGTTTCCTTCAAGGTTAGGCTTAAGCACACATTCTGCTGGAAACCTCTCTTGCTCTTCCACTCCATTACTCCAGTGTGTTCCACCCCAAATTATCATGTACCTATTCTGCGTATCTTGATAGATTCATCTTATCTCCCAGACTGGATGGGAAGCTTCTTGAGGGCAGGATCTCGGTATTTCCAGGATCCAGTACAGTGACTGGCACAATAAGGTGCTTGTTGATTGGTTGATCAATCAGTGGAGCAGCCATTTCCAGGAGCCTTGTCTTCCTCCTACTCATAGCCTGTGTATGTATAGGCAGAACGTAAATCCAGGAGAACTCAGGCCTTTGGGATGTGGTTGATGAGGTGGTTTCCAAGTGAGGAGCACAAGAAAATTGAGTGAGATTTCTTTGTGTCAGAGTAAGTTATCTCTGGGGAGTCTGGATGGCTTTCTTTTGTGTTTTGTTTGTTCTTTGGGCTTTGCTGTACCCTGCTTGAGGTCTTAGGCGCAGATACACTTGAGGGGTGAGCAGAGAAAGCTCTGCTTTACAAGGTCAGGAATATCTGGAGCCTTGATACTTTCATTTGAATTCTTTCCTGTTGTCTTTGATGGGCCTCTGCTGTACGTTATGGGACCCTAAAAACCAGAGTGTGTGGGACCCTATCATTCTCCCTTACCCATAGCACATTCTACCTGGGATCATATTTGTTTTTATCTCTCTCTCCCTCTATCCCTGCACATAAGATTAGAAATTCCTCAAGGAGAAGGATCTATGTTGCTTTTTCATTTTGAATCATCAGTGCCTTGCATGTAGTCGGTCCATACATTTTTATTGAATAGAATTGAGTTCAAGAGCAATGAATGATTGAAAAATTATTGTTTTTTGCTTTTGTAATATATTGCAAAGGTGTTGAAATATATTCCAAAGGCCCATGGAAATTATATATATTTGTTTATACTTGTCATTATGATCCAAAGATTAACAAGGCATGATCCTTTTCCTCAAGGAGGCTACAAGTAAGATGAGGCTTATATATACAACATAAAAACATTTTCATCAAATGCCTGCCTTTGTAATTGTTTTGTTTAGAATAGTATTTTTAAAGTTAATTAATTTATTTTTAGTTTTCAACATTCACTTCCACAAGATCTTGAGTTCCAATTTTCTCCCCACTCATCCCTCCCCCCACCCCAAGATGGCATGCATTCTGAATACTCCTAATCTGCCCTCCCTTAGAATAGTATTAAAATGAGTTTGCATTTTCTCAGTACATGGCAACTGACTATTAGGGGAGTTGACCCAGAACACTTTGGATTACAAAGGAGATGTTAGCCTTGAATTTCATATGAGTTGTGATTATTATTATTAATAAACATTTTGTTGTGGATAGACCATGCTTGGATCATTGAGCGTTAATTACACAGGCATAGCTATTGTTCAGACAGCCTCTTTTACAGTTTATTGTATGTTAAATTTGTGGTCCTGTGGAAATTTTTTCATTGCAATGTTTTCTGATAACTTTTTTTTTAAACAATTTTAGGTATTTTGTACTCCTAGGGAAGATTTCAAAAGCTTTTTGGTTCTTCAATGACTTCCTTGGTAGCTTATGACGATTCCGACTCTGAGGCTGAGGCCGACAATTCTAACAGTTCTTGCCAAGAAAAAAGGATCAGAAACTTTGGTCAGCCTTTACCATGTGACACATTAGCTACAAACAACCCACAACCTAGGTGGGGCAACCTGAATACTGGTTTGGGCATTGTTGAGGAATATTCTAGGGTATGTGGTCTCCTAGAACCTCAGGCAGAAAGAAACACCTGGAAGTCTTGTCCAGGGCCTAGATGTCAGTGGCCTAACACGGAGCTCCAAGTCAAACCCTGCACATTCACACCTTCAGATTTCCCCACATCTCCCAGCTCCACATCATCTGGGAATAGAGAGTTGGCAGGTGCATCTGTTGGCAAAATGAGGCCTTCGTGTGAAGCTTTCAGAGTCCCCAATTCATCTTCCTGTGCTTTAATGTCTTTGGAAGCCACGAGTCAACATGGAAGCCTTTTGCAAAAGAGAAGATGGGAGAACATGGATTTTGTCAAAGGAGGAATTAAGCCTTACATCCCCAAAAGACTGAGACAAACACAAACTTTAACTGCAGGAACTAGTGAGAGAGGAGGATCTGAGCTACAAAGACAAAGAACAGATTGCCCATCCTTCTCAGAAGGATTCCCCATGAGAGAATGCACAGCCACAGTAGTTTCTGACTTTATTAAGCCGTATTTAGATGGAAAGTATAAATCGACAGAAATTCCGAAGAAGGTAATCTTTCAGATGTCTGAGCATGGAGGACCAGTCAACAGTGTCCAGTGGTGTCCAGTTTTACAGCACAGTCACATGCTTCTCTCAGCTTCTATGGATAAAACTTTCAAGGTAACATTCCTTAATGGAAAAAAAGTCTCATCAGATGTTCAGTCATTATTGATTAAGCCCCTCCTGTTTTCAAGATACTGCATTTAGCCTTGTGGGGAATACAGAGGGGCAGTAGAATGGAGTAGAAATAGCCTGGGACTTGGCATCAGAAGATACAGGTTTTGTCATTTGCTAGCTTTGTGACTATGGGTGAGTGATTTTACCAGGCTGAGCTTCAGTTTCTTAATCTGTAAAATGGAGATGCTAATTCTAGTAATTCCTGTCTGGCAGGGTTACTGTGAAAAAATCACCATGCAAAGGCTAAAGCAGAGCCTAAATACAAATAGTTGTTATTAGACAAAAATTAATAAGACATGAGCACTTCTCTCAAGGAGCTTATGGTGTATTGGAGTAGGAGTGGAGAGGAGACCAGTACCCAGATCTATAAAGTGTCACACTGTGTGAGAGAGATGTGGATAGTTATAGAGCTTTCAGAGTCCATGAGAGAGGAATCTCTCCTGGCTAAGGGAGTTAGAGAGGACTGCACTTAGGAGGCACATGTTTCAACTTAGTCTTAAAAAAGATTTTAGCTAATGGAGATGTTGAGCAGAGGGCATGCCCTCTGGTGGAGTTTGAGAAGGATAAGTATGAAGCATGTTAGTCAAATAACAAGTAAACTGGTTGTGTGAAAGGGAGTTTTTCAGAAATAGTTAACAAGCATTTGCTAAGTGATGGGCACTGAATTAAGCTGTGGGGATACAAAGATAGTCACCTCCCACTCCCAAACAAAACAAACTCACAAAAGAACCAAAACCCCAAACTCCATAGTCCTTGCCATCAAGGATTTCACATTCCAATGGGAGGAGACAACATATGAGTATCTAGGTAATGCAAGTTATATAGAGAGTATGTGAAGGTAATCTGAGAAGGGAAGGCATTAGTAGCTGGAGGGAGCCAGGAAAGGCATCCTGTGGAAGGTGAGAGTGAGTGCTGAAGGAAGCCAGGGAAGCTGAGAGGTGGAGGTCAGAGGGCAGAACATTATAGGCCTGGTGGTCAGCCAGTATGGAGGTAAGATAGTTTATCACATTGGAGGTACTGCAAGTAGGTCATTGTTGCTGGCTGATAGCAGTTGTGGAGAGTGGTAAGGGGTAGGAAAGCAGGTGTTGTGAGCATAATTCAACAAAAGTGGACTGAGGCACATTTTCTCTGAGCAAGATAACATTTTATTAACAAGGGTGCTAAGTGCCAATCAATGGCTTCGTCATTTTAGCCAAAGACCCCTAGCAGAAGAACAGCTCCTCTTTTCTAGTTTTTGGGAAGCAAGGAGCAAAAGACAGAACAGGGTAGGGAAGGAAAAAATGCAGTTGGTTATAGGATCGGAGACATCATGAGGTTGAGGACAACATGGAAGTCTGCATAGCTGAGGCATGGGGGACAATACGATTGACTGAAGTTGGGAAAGGGGGGCTAGCAACAATCCTGTCTTCCCTCCTATGACTAAGAAAGGTGTATTGTTTGAGTCCATCTGTGAAGTTTGAGGGAGTGGGCCAGACTTGTTTGGATAGCAAACCAGACATCCTTCAAAGATGGCTTGGTGGTGTAAAGATAACAAACCAGACTCCCTAATGTCCACCTGCATCCCCTAAGGACAGGCATGTAAAAAACAGATACAGAGGGACAGCTAGGCGGCACAGTGAATAGAGTGCCAGCCCTGGATTCAGGAGGACCTAAGTTCAAATTTGGCCTCAGACACATAACACTTACTAGCTGTGTGACCCTGGGCAAGTCATTTAACTCCGTTGCTTAGCCAAAAACAAACAAACAAAACAAAAAAAAATAAAAAAAAGAATAGAACAGCGAATAACAGAACTGTATTTCTAAACTTAACTTGTTACAGGCCAGCTGAATTTCTGTGCTAAGTTCAGAGACAAAGAACTGTGACTTGAGCAGTGACAGGACAAAATCAATTAACTGCAAAATAGGATCAATAAAAACAATACAGAATCAATTTAATCTTCTCACAGGAAAGCCAAGAAGAAGCCAGGTTATGAAGAACTTTTATGCCAAACAGAGGAGTTTATATTTTGTCTTGGAGGTAATAAGGAACCACTGGAACATCTTGAGCAGGGGTGACATGATCAGACCTAAGCTTTAGAAAAATCACCTTGGCTGCTGGAGGGTGAATTGGAGTAGGGAGAGATTTGGGAAGAGAGATCAGGCAGAAGGTTATTGCACTAATGCAGGAAAGAGATGATGAGCGTTTGAACCATGGTTGTGACTGTTAGATGTAGAGAAAAGGGGATGTGTTCTAGAGATGTCGTTAGGGAAGAAATGGCAGGACTTTGCAACAGATTGGATATGTGGGGTAAATAAGAGATAGAAGAAGCAGTTGGTGATATGTGACTAGCTCAGCTGAGAGAATAGATCTGGAAATCATCTGAAGGGAGATGATTATTGAACCTAATGGAGCTGATGAGATTGGCAGTGAGATAGTAGAGAAGGGGGCCCGGGACAGAGCCTTGGGATGAAGACCAGGAAAGGTGATTGAAAAAGAACAGTTAGAAAAGATAGGAGAAGTTTTCCACAACATGTCTACTATGGACGTGTTTTGCATAACTGCACGTGTACAACCTATATTGAGTTGCTTGCCTTTTCAATGAGGGTGGGTGGGGAGGGAGGAAGAGAGAAAAATTTGAAACCTAAAGTTTTAAAAGCATATGCTTAAAAAATGTTTTCACATGCTACTGGGAAATAAGAAATACAGGAATGGGGTACAGAAGTCTATCCTGCCCTACAGGAAAATAGAAGGGGAAGGGGAGAGGTAGAAGAGAGGACAGACTAGGGGAAGGGATATTCAGAATGCATGCCATCTTGGGGTGGGGGGAGGGGGGAGATGGGGTGAAAATTTGGAATTCAAAAAACTGTGGGAGTGAATGTTGAAAACTAAAAATAAATAAATTTATATTAAAAAAAAGATAGGAGAAGCAGGAGAGAGCAGTTAGAAAAGAGGAGAAGCAGGAGAGAGCAGTGTCATGAAAATCTAGAGAGACAACAGCCCGAGGTGAGAAAGGAATTGACAGTGTTAAATGCTACAGATAGGTTAAAGTGGATTAGGATTAAGAAAAGGCCTTTAGATTTGGCAATACTAGAATCACCAGGTATATCAATTTGTTGAGGTCTAGGGGTGCTGGGAACCCCCAAATTCAATGCAAACCATGTGGGTCCTACCTTGAATGAATTCCACCCAACCCTTCTTTCAGCCAAAGACAAGGTTTATTAGAACACTGGTCAGGGTGGGCAAGATTTTAAGAATCTGCCCTGTTTGGTGACACTTGTATTGACAAATAGGCCAGATTCTTAAGGAATCTGGGTGATTTAATGGGGGCAAGATGGACACTTATATACAGTGGTCAAGGAGCGGCCGATAGCTTGGGTGACTGGGAGGGAACAGAAGGGGACCTGGAAGGGCTGGGTGCCTCAAGCAAACGCCAGGGACCTGGGCCATATGGAAGGGGTCTAGATGTAATTGAGGAGTGGCAATCTCGGGTGGGGCCGAGTGCAGACAATGGGAGCCACTATGAAAGGGCAGTTGAAAGGATTAACTGGGAAGGGCCAGGTGCCCCAGATGAATGCCAAGGACCTGGGCCATGGGGAAAGTCCAGGGGTCTATCATTAGTGCCCCATCAAATTGACATGAGAATTTTAAAAATTATTTTCCTATAATTTCTCCTACATGCACACATATACTTCAAATGCAAATATTTATGAGCAGAAGTTGTAATTTTAGTTTGAAATAAAATTTTTCATCCTATTATCTCTACTATATACAAATAATGTGAAATCTGACATGAAGTGTATGGGTAAGAGATGAATACAGAAGGTATGATGGGAACCTGGAGATATGAAAAGGTTTGGAATACTCACTGGATATGGAGACAGTTGTGTGAAGAATAGAATGTTTGCCCTGTGGCAGTAAGAACCCGATTGGGATTGTGTAACATAAATTTGTAGCATATCCAGCCAACTTGGTTTTGTGATTTTCTCCAGCTCCATTTCGCAACATGTGAATAAGAGTGAAGGAGATAGATGGTGGCAGTAAACCATGAGTTGGGGCGTGAGGAATGATCTAGATAGGACAAAGGAGCCAGGGATTTGAATGGAGAGAAGAATGTAGAATTGAATTGATTTCCCAACAGATCAAGGGAAGAAGAGAGTAAACTGTCCAGGGGGATAGCCTGGGAAAGAGTCCAGGGGTGGAGGGAATGGAGACCACAATGAGGGTTAGGGGTCATTCATTAGGTCATTCATAGGGAAAGATGGAATAATAAAAGATTGTGATCAAAGGAATTTCAGAGTTCATGAATGTGGAGGTGGGGAGGAAAGATTGTGATCCTGGCTTTGAACTCTTTTAAGGAAGAATAAAGATAACAGGGAATTTGGATTGGCTGATAAAACTGGATAGCATAAACCTTAAAGGAAGAGAGGTTACTTAGTCAAGATGGTTGATGGAAGGTATGTAGATGGCAGTGGGGAGCAAGGAATATTCCAACTCCACCACAACCAGTGACTTGGGAGGGAATTACTACTAAATAAATATGGAGCCACTACCAGAAGGAGTAGGGAATTTATTGGGAGGACCCATATCTTAGTGAAGGTTAGAAGATGGAAAGAGTGAAGAAGAAAGAGGTTTAACATTAAAGGAAATTTATTAATTATGGAGCATGCATTCCAGAGTGTGGGCAAATCTGGAGTGGAAACTTGAGTGGGTATGGTTGAGGTATGTAGACCTGATGGAATTTTGTACATCAGCCACTCAGCTGCTGGGCGTTCAGGATCACTGGGGATAGAGTGAATATAATGGGATGGGAGTATGCTAACCATTAAGTATTGCGTCTAGGCAGGGTATCCATAGTTGGAGAGAAGTCTATTGAAGAACACATGAGACTTGAGAGTTTAGTTTTTGGGCAGAAGATTTTGAGTACTGTGAGACCCAAGGAGGTCTGTCTCAAAGCAGGCATGAA